TTTAACGAACTAAGAAAACACGACCCAAAACATTAAGCTCATAAGCTCGGCTTAATACCGCTTTGATTGTAAGATTTCAAGAACTCAATTCAAAAACCTTATTGAAATTGAAAGAATTCAATTGTCACTTTATCAAAACCATTAGACAATTACGTATCTAATATTTTGACTAACAAACATTTACAAGAACATCAAATAATTGGCCAAATAACTTAACATTCAAAGTGAAATTGACATTTAACCTAGAAATCCAACAAATAAACTTGTCCCAAACGATTACAACGAAATCTCAAAGTGGAAAAACATCAAAATCTAAAGTGACTAATGTTGGAATGAAGAGATTAGCTACACATGACTAAACTGGATTACTGATTCTAAAGGTTTGAAGATTTACCGTAAGAATCAGGAACATTGATGAGAAAAGGTTGYTGTCTTCACCTCTCGCATCCGTCTTCTCCAATCGAACCCGTCTCCGTCTCTTCAATCGGACAGCTTGCCGTCCTCTTCAACCTCACGACTCTCTCCCTCGCCTCTGTCTCTCTCGCCTTCAATCGACAGCTCCCCCCTCGCTTGCTCTCGAACAGCCCCTCTTTTAACCCACGGTCTCCTCAATCGCACCTCCATCTCTTGCCCACGTCTCTCGTTCTTGCCCACGATCTCCCGCTCTTCAGCCGCACGACCTCTCTCGCTTCTCTCGCCTTCTGATTTGGGCTGGGCAGCAGCTTGGGCTGCTGTTTTGTTGCTGGACTGCTGTATCTTGGGGTTTTATTAAAAACATTTGATAAAATATGCTTCCATTTAACGCCATTTGAATTCGTATGCCTTGTCCAGAACCTATTTCATAAATATGCTCCGCTTCATATTCCTTTAGAAAACTATGCCTGCCCTTGTAACAGTTTCGAAATATATGCTCTGTTGGTATTAAAATCCATCCTTTTTGTACCTATCAAAGACCAATCAATAACTAAATTAAAGGGGTTCTATAAGCTATATAAACATTACAATATGTACTAAATTTATTATAAAAACATGTTTAAATATAAGCTTATCACTAACTTGTTTTTGTGATTATAAATGAGCTTGAATTTGATTCAATTCTAATATGCATATCTAATTGTATTGAAAATCTATTATTACTAATGCTTGTTAGAAATTATGTATATGTGGAGCGGAGGTACTGATGGCACAACGGGTCACTCAGTGTGTGTGTGTTTTGGGCTTGATAAGCCCAATAGTTAGTCTAAGGAAATTTGATCAATTAGTTTTTTATGATTAATTAAAAAAAATAAAATAAGACAATGAAAAGTCAAAAAATAAAAACAAATTGACCATTAAAGAAATATCTAACTGAAAACGTATCGAAATTTATAATATAGAGAGATAGTCGTGTTCAAGTGAGAACAATGACCAAATAAGAGAACACGAGAATAACCAACTCACATGTGATTTTATATTAAATCCCGTGTAAATGTGATTCACACGACTTTAGCCGTGAAGTAAGGTCACGAACCAAGTCCCCTGCTCACTTTTGCATGGACCGTGTTTCATAATTGCTTGTGATTTTAATGTGAAATCACATACATACAATCTAACTGTTTTCGTGTTTTCTTATGTTGGCAATTTCTCGTTTGATCTTTTTGATATATATTTAGGCCTTTTTTATTGTTTTCTTATGTATTGTTTTAAAAAAAATATAATTTTCTAAAAGAAACGAATAGGAATACGCGTTTTTATGCAAGACCTCTGGTTAGTAGTAATAATAATAAAAAAAAGCATGTTGCATGCATAACATATTAAATAATAAATATAAATATAAATATGGTTAGAAAAACACTTATAGGATAATATATGACTTTCATAACAAAGAGATTAGTCTCAATCGGCGTGCTTCCTGTTCCTTCTAGAAATAGAAACAAACTTCCGTGACGATGAGGTCAAAGTTGACCTTCATAGTCAACCTTTGCATGTTTTCAAATATTTACCATTTTCTTGGTCGAACATACATACATACATACATACATACATACATATATAGGGTTGAGTTCACGTAAGATCAAGGGTTTTTCGTTAGACCCGTAAGATCAATTTTTGTTCATTAATCAACTTTATAAGCTAATGATCTAAAGTTGTACGGTTGCAATTTTATGATTATAGATAAGTCTCGTGTCAATTTTGTGATTATGCATGTTTAAATTGTAGATCTAATCCAATGGTTAAAAATTGGTCTTATGGGTCTCATGAAAAACCCTTGTTTTCACATGATTCCAAGTCGACACACACACACACACACACACACACACACA